TGTCAGGGCTAGTACTAAAACCAGGAACCTGATACCAAAGTCCATACTCTTTAAAAATTTCTCATTACTCTGAGATCTGATTTTGAACAAAGTACTTCAAATTACAATAATTTCCTCATCTGTAAAATGAGAACTCTGTAGCTATAACATCAAATATCCAAAATTCTACAGAAAGTCAATATTTAATGAGCGAAGCTGAACACATACTTCTTTGAGGCTATGGTAACTCAATCTATACCTCATGGCAATTTCAGTTATGAGCTAATCTATACTTCATGGCAATTTCATTTTACTTCATGGCCGGTCAATAGCATACTTTGGACCTACGTCAGGTGAAAGGGATGAAAATTTCTTAACCTGAAAATAATCATTCTCTGCTAGAGAATTTAAATAATTAGTAAATGAAATGGAGTTTTAAAACATATGTTTTATCATATGCCTTATAAACCCACAGGTGATTCTGACAAATACCCATTCGAAAGTACTGATGCTATAGATACTCAGCACACAATTAGACGGCACAATTCATACTTAGACTGCACAATTCATATGGCTAAACCAATTATTAGGAATGAGCTTTTGAAAATAATCATTACAACTTATTCTGAAAGACCTGAAAAAGAAATTATAGGTTTCCCACTGAAACAGCCTGGATTTTGAATATATAATACCGAAATCTTAATTTAAAGTGTGTGTGTGTGTGTGTGTGTGTGTGTGTGTGATGTGCATACATGCGCCCCACATTCCAAACTTGGTTGTTTCACTGATATCAAATCACTGGTTTGACTTATTTTTATTTCCCTTTCTTAATTATAACGTAAGTATAACTTCATTCTCCGAAAATAACTTGACCGCAAGAAAGACTCTGGTTCAGTGCTTTTGAAATTTAAAATTTTTATGACATCTATATCCTGCTAAAGAACACATGTTTTGAGGAATTGTATTTGAGTAATAAATGCTGTTATAGAGCTTGTGTTCATAGGCAAATACAATCTTTCTTCAAAACATTTCATACATCTAGATTTTGAGTTAAATTTGTGTAAATTTTTCCAGTGTGTTAAATATAAGATTTCTTTCAAGGTCACCTTATAATATGATTATCCCCTAAGATGCATACGGAAGGTCAGACCACTGAAATTCTCTCTTCCTCCCTCCCACCTCCTCCTTTCCATGGAAGAAATGGAATTATAAAAACACAACACGGCATTTTATACATTGCCATAAATTATGTGTGTCTTTAATGGAATGCTGATGTTTTAAAAATCTGACTTGTCATTTCAAAAGCTGTCAAATTAATGTGCAGAGATTTAGAAAATCGCATGAGTATAATGCATGCAATGTCCATATACCTTTATGCAGTGTGATTTTCAGTGAAAAGGTGAGAGAGAAATAAGATCATTTATGCAAGTTAAAGTTGTTCTCGGCAGCAAAGTAGTTCCTTCAAAACTTGTATTTAATATTCTTCTAATTATATTACAAATGACAATTAAAATAGCATTAGAAAAATGTTTTCAGTAAAGGTTTATTCCAATATTGCTAAGTGCATTAATGTATTTTAAGTAGTTTTGCTTCATACTTTCATGACTTCTAAGCATTCCTATTTTACTCTTGTACTGCCAAGTACATATCGAATGGTCAATTTAGCAGTAACAATGTGAGAGAAATTTGTTAAAAATCAAAGTATTTAACATTCGATAACGAAGTTGCTGCTCTACTTACAGTGTTTACTGAAAAGTTTTTTGAAAATGATGCAAGATATGCTATTTTACTCATCTCATTTTTCTATATAGGAAATTTTACCCAAGGTAAAGTTATAAATGTGTCTCTTTTATAAGTATTACACTAAATGTATCATGATCATGTGTAATCTTAAGTAATACCCAAAGCCAATTCTAATGATGATAAACTATGATTCAGCATAGGCTTATGAATTTAAACATGATAAGAGGAGTATTGTTACATAAAAAATAACTTGGCTTTTGTCAACAAAGCAATATCAGTTTTAGAAAAGCTGCAAATATAATGAACTGGCATTGATGGAATTACATTTCAGCATATTTTCAAATGTTACTCTATAATATTAAACAATGGAAAACACTGATATTATGATACTAAAATGGCAGAATGAAAAACATAGAATAACAAGAGGTGTCTAGTTGATATTGGAACAACTCTTGATTATTCAGGATTTAGTTCACCCGTCTGTGGATTAGTCATTCCCTCACTACTCCTCCCTTCTGCTTTACACACCTGTTAGCCATATCACTGGTATTTACCCCAGCAACACTGGCTGGATAGGAGAAGGGAGAAGAGAGATTAACAAATATTCACTAAATTTCAGTGTTTATTCTTGGTGTCATAATTTGATCATGCCATTAACGGTATGCTTGAAATTTTTTGGTTCATTTAAAGATTCCTGATAATCATTTATATATCTACTATACAAGATAAATACATTTACATTTGGCAAAGATTAACCATGTATGGTCATGATTTTCAGTGAGTGAGACATAGTGATGGTTGGACTAGAAACGTTAGCTTAATTATGTAGAATGAAGAGGATACTAAGTACTCCCATGTGTATTTTAGGTGTGTAATACATTATTCATAATGTCTTTATTGATAAGATAAAAACTCTGCTTGAATTGGTGTGCATAAATTTTGGCCCTAGATTTGTGAAACTTCCATTTTAGTAGTTGAAGGCCCCATTTGAATAAGTGATACTAACATAAACCTCTTCAGTTTACACACAATTGGCATAATATTTAAATTCACTGGATTTTGTTCGTCTTCTGAATAATCAAAAGTTGACAGTGCTGGTCTGACAAGAAGTTTTAAAAAGCAGTGGTAATACTGTCCTTAATACAGGTTTTTGGATTCAATTTGCAACTCACCTCAAGCTTAACAATTCCCCCTGTCAACCACAATTCACTGCATTTACACACCATAGTACAGATTGCATCATTACTGCCACAACAATTGTTCTGTGTATTGTACACAGAATAGCAAAGTTTAGGCACAGAGATGGCAGACAGAAACATCTAAACTTGAAAACCACATTGCCGAACACATTTTAACTCTAAGATTGTTAACCTGTTCATTTTCTTTCCACATTAAGCCATATATGTATGTTACTGGCAAGAAATAAACAAACAAAAGAAAGAGTAAGAAGAAAGAACGAAAGAACGAAAGAACAAAAGAAAGAAAGAAAGAGAAAGAGAAAAAGAAAGAAAGAAAGAAAGAAAGAAGAAAGAAAGAAAGAAAGAGAAAGAAAGAAGGAAATCGCAAACAAAATTAAACCTTTATGATGGAAAATTTTTATCAAAGTCAGCAGTTCTGAAAAATTGTAATATTTTCTCTCCCTTTTTTTGAACCCAATATAAGAACAAATTTGATGGCATAAACTCTAACATATTTTTCTAATTTAATTATATGGAAATTTGATCTTTTGCTTTATATTAATTGATCTTAACTGCACCCCCCCCCCAAGTATTTATTACAGGTATACTTCCAGTCTCAATTTCTATTATTCCTTGGCAATAATGTGGACGATAATATTTATTATATTATTATAGCATATGCAACCTCCATAAAATGAGTATTTAAATATTGGGTAAAGGCCATGTGTAAAAAATCATTATCTTAAGTGTTTAAGAGCTTGTCTTTGTCTTTGCTGATATCCCAGCTCCTTTGCCGTCCGTGTGCCTTTAATAATTATTTTGGTGAAAGGCGAGCAAAATGCACAGATAGTCTTTTTCGTATATTCCTGACCAAACAAGTAACTGATTACTCACTGTTTTGTGAGTTATTTAAATAACATTTTGATAAGTGTGTTCTTGCCAAACAGGAAGAATGTGGTCAAAACCACAATAAACAAGAGGACATATATTTAAAGGTGTGGTACTCCAACGAATCAGCTTCAATGGATTTGAGGTTGGCTGGTTCAGTTCATGGTAAAGAATATGTTTATTGGCCCAGGAGTCTGAAGCAACTGATACATGGAGACAAACATCTCTGAACAGGAAGATTTTAGCACAGTTTCCAAATTTCACTTTACTCTTCCGGTTAAGGTAAATGAATCAAAAGACAAAATATCAGAAAAGAGGTAATATAGCCAGAGGCAACAAGATAGCAGAGTAATGGAGACAAAGAGAAGAAACTGAACCAAGTAGAGAAAAATTGATCAGATAAAAACTACCAGAGAATAGAAATGGGTTGGAGAACCATAATTAGAAGAGAGAAGAAGGCTTTAAGTCTTTAAACAAAACATACAAAATGAGAGTTTGAGGATAGAGGAGCTGACAATAAAGATGAGCGAAAATAATTAAAATCAATAAATGAAATGCTAAAATACAATGCTAAGATATTCAACATATTTCTAGTATTTGGGGGCCCCAAAGAGATAAAGTAAAACAGAGGTAGTTAATGCAAAACCATTATTTGTGATTAAAATTATCTGTGAAGGGAGGAGCAAAAAGATAGTGGATGTATATATATATATATATATATATATATATATATATATATATACACACACACACACACATAGGTATATGTGCTATTTTAATAAAAAAAAGAGACATCATTTAATGCAAATAATTTTATTATATATTTACAAGTAATCTGACATTGGGTAGAAGAAATACCTACAGTATCATTTTAATATAAAATGACAAATGACTTTAATAAATTAAAATGACCATTTTTACTGAAAAATTAAATAGCAATCATGTAAAAATAGTTTTAAATTATCAACAAAATTTTGTTTACTCTTTTAAATATAGCACAAATGAGTTCTTTGAGTGTTGAAAGAAATAATGGGCAAAGCATACGTGTCATCAAACAGATACAATTTGGAGGCGATGGTGAAGATGACGTTCAGCAACATAAGAGAGCATGCTGAGTAGTGATTTTAGGTCCAGCATTATAGGGATGAGGATAAGAAATGTTGAGAATGTGACATTAACTGGTGACAAATGATGGTACCCTGTTACCTTTCGTGTGGACTGGCAGTGAGTTCAATGAGTCAAAGAATGCCAGAATAGAAATGGTGAGTGCTCAGTGTTAATATTATGTGAAGTAATGGAATAAGGACTGTGGTTTAGTGCTTTAGAATGTTCTACCATGTTCTAATCCTTACAACAATATTTTAACCTTTGAATCTGTAGGTAATTTAAAGTACGTTGTCATCATATTCATAGGTTAAAACATTATTCATGTTAATGTAAGCTAGATGGAACCACCATAACAACAGTTAATTTTCACAAATAACAAATATTAGGCTAAAATAATTACACATACAGAGTATATAATAAAATACAAACAACTTACAACCTTAAAGAATTTAATGCTTAACTCTAGTGATTTTTATTTAATAAGATTTGATAAATTTTATCTTAAACGTGCAAACAGAAAAGGGCACAATTGGTTCCACTGAGATTGTACCAAATAACAAATCAGAGGCAGAATCTAATATATCCTTGGATTACAAGAATATAAGGTGCACCACTTAGAGATTGAACGAGATTCCTGCCTGGGAAGCTTTGTTTAAGCTGTTGCTACCCGGGTATTCATCATAGCCCAAATTTAAGAATATGTTTTGCTGTTATGTAGGACTAGCCATACCAATTGTGCTTACAGTTTGTTTTGTAATTACATTCATATAACATAGGTTCCAGTATAAAAACTTCATCAAGAAAACATCTTTTCCACAACACAAAATACCAGTATTTTGCCAAGGAGCTGTTATTCCAATTATTCAAATATTCAAATGCTATTTGTTTGAAGCAAAGAAGCAAAGATACTGGCCACAAGTAGCATTAACCATGCAGTTGTTAACAATACAGGCTAAAAAAGAAGAGGCTTCTTTGAAAGCTGTCACACATGGGCAAAGGTTAACTGATTTCCCTTGACCTCATCCAGATTGGATTCCAAACAATTTTTCTCGCCCCAGCAATTATGTAAAAATTATCAGAAAAATTACTCACTCCAAGGTCACCTGAGCCACAGCGTCCATTGAACTGTATCCATTTTCCATGAAAATCTCTGTATACCGGCCCATTTTGATTGCTTCTAGCCATTCACCTACTGATCTGTAGGCCCCAGATCCCAGTGGGCCATGTTCTGCCAATAAATTAGATACCCTAAAACACAGAGCACATCAATATTAAAAGTAACATTTTCATGTCTCTTATTATAAATTGTAATATTAGCTCCCTATCAAGGGATTTTTGGGTTTTTGGAAGAATATAATTTAAAATATAGAACACAAACTTAGTCTATTCAGATTTTTTTCTACTGTCAATGAAAACTTATGATGGCTTAATAAGTAAATGTTCTGTAATATAAAACATTAGCTGAAAATTCCATTAGATGTATTTACTTCCTCCTATTGTATTTTGTTTATAAAAATAATACAGAAAATGCTGCCAAAATTAGATATGAGGGATAATTTGTGTCAGCCCAATTGTTCCTAGACATTGCTAGAGAAACTCATGCTCGTTGAAGCTAATTTCTCAGGAAGTCCAGAAGTTATTTATCCTGTATTTTACACTCTTACAAAAATGTGCTTGTTAACTTGACCCAGGAGTAATAGAATTTTGAAAACAAAATGTAACCCCAAATACTTTAGAAAACTGAATGGGATTAACCAACCAGGAGATACTCTTAGTTGTACTAGACTCATATTTTTAGTCCAATAATAATAATGATACAATTATGAGAACCATTTCTGGAAATACATCCGAAGTAAATGACTAGGAAAAATGACAAAAAGTACTTGTACCATTTTTTACTAGTGGGAATGAATGCCAAAAACAATTTAAATGTCCATCAGGGGGATTTGCCTCGGTAAATTTCAACCATAAGATAAAGGACAAATACATTTCTTTTGATTCATTGTCTCTGCACTTTCTTACATTCTGTTTACACTTCAACTTATTCCAGTATATTTCCTCCCAAACCAATTCTATAAAAATTTCTCTCACTGTGGTGAGCAATGATTTTTATTTTGCCGAAATCTATAAAATTTCCTATCTACAAAATGATTGACTCCTCAGAAATTTTCAACATCCACCCCCACCACCTCTCTTTTGAATTCCTATGTTGTCTCACAAAGTTTTGAATAATTCTCTCTTTCTTGGCTACCAGGACATTGAATTTCCCTTGGCATCTTTTAAACCTCCTTTGCAGCAGTCGGTTAAGCGTCCGACTTCAGCCAGGTCACGATCTCGCGGTTCGTGAGTTCGAGCCCCGCGTCAGGCTCTGGGCTGATGGCTCAGAGCCTGGAGCCTGTTTCCGATTCTGTGTCTCCCTCTCTCTGCCCCTCCCCCGTTCATGCTCTGTCTCTCTCTGTCCCAAAAATAAATAAAAAATGTTGAAAAAAAAAAAAAAAACCTCCTTTGCCGATTACTCCTTTCCCTGGCTTTAAAATTTGGCTCTGTAACTTCTCAGCTCAGGCTAAGATTCCACTCTAGGTAATTTTACCCATTTTTATGCTTCAAGTGGCATCTATTTTTCTCCAATTTTTACCCCCAGCCCAAGTGTCTCATGTATTCCTGTAGCTACTTACACCTCCATATTTCTCATAGGAATATTGCCCCAACATGTCTGAAACCACACTTGTCATCTTTTTCACATCCAATTCCTCCTGCAGTCTTCCACGTTCTAGAACATGATACAACAGTTCACTCCTTCCTTGTCTTCAGTCCCCTCACAATCAATCATTATGTGTACTATCCATTCTACTTCCAATATATCACATATCTGATCACTCCTCTATCTCACTTGTTGCCACTTTAGTTCAAGACATCATCATGGCATATCTGCCAACTACTCTAGCCTCTGAGTTATCCTCTAAATTCTATCCTCACTCTCTGCTGCACAGCCAAGTTTCTTTTTTAATGTTTTTTATTTTGTTCAATATCTTCCTCCTCCAATAGTGTGTTGTTCAATGCTGTATACTCAGCACCTATCCCACAAGATGACATGATGTGGACATGAACATGAATCTGAACATGAATATTGGCTGAATAAATGGGTATCTTGTGATTTGTAGCCTTTAAGTAATAGGGGTCAAAGATTTTATGAAGGTAGCAATACAGAAAAAAATAGTTGGAGAGTAGGATCTTGAAGTTGACATTATGGAGGAGTTGCAATTTTTAGTAACAGCAAAATCTAGAACATAACGCTGAGAAGGAGAGTTCATGGTAGGCTAGAGACAAAAAATGAGAGATATTCAAACATCATCTACATGGTTACTGAAATCACCAAGCTTTGTGACATGGGTGAGAATAAATACCGGTTAAGACAATGACTGGGAGCTAACGTCTTCTAGAATTAGGATTTGTAGATGACCGAATAAAAATGGCTAGTAAGTGCTATAGTCTTCAGCCAAATCTGTTTAAATGAAACCTAGCAAGATGATTCTATATATTGCACACACACACAAAAAGAAAAAAATTTGGAGACTCTTAAACTGTTCTCAATCTATAATGATATCAATATAAACTAACACAATTTAGATCATCAAAATGTCTCTTTATGATTTCTTTTCTTTAGGTCCCTTTAGACAACATAATTCAAATAAGTAGATGAAAGAAATGCTTACATTTTTACATGACAATAAATAACTTAAAGGCAGATATTTCAGTAGCAACATAAGGAATATTCACTAAGAAGATAAATTCTACAGTTGCTACTACAGAAAGTTAATGATGCTTGAACAGAAGTTGAAGTTTCATTCTTCATTTGTATTTAAAAATGACTTTTTGCCTAATAAACAAATGTTATGTCAGAATCATAGAACTTATGTAACTTTATCAACAGATTGTTCCTCATTTAGTTCATGCTAATAGGAGGCCAATTTGGTTACACTTCTTGTAAAAATAAAGATCTGACTCAAATATAGTGAAAATAACATTCTGGCAATTTTTCTTAAGTACAGAGTCAAACTGATTTATTTTTTGTGAGGATAATTCTGTAATTTATCACGTCAAAGAGAAAAACATGTTTTACAAATATGTAACATTGTTTAAGTATATTCATGTGCATTCGGAAAATTGTTTTAAATATTCATTTGTGGGGTGCCTGGTGGCTCAGTCGCATAAGCGTCTGACTCTTGGTTTGGGTTGAGGTCATGATCTCAGGGTTGGTAAGATTGAGCCCTGGGTCATCAGGCTCTTCACTAATAGCACAGAGTCTGCTAGGGATTCTCTCCCTCCTTCTCCCTCTCCCTCTCCTTCTCTCTCTCTCGCTCTCTCTCTCTCTACATAAACAAATAAAGTTAAAAAATTAGAAGTAAAAAAGTAAAAATGCTCATTTGTTTCACACAAATTTATTCATTTATCAGTTTTAAGTTTGTTCCAATTGCACAGTAAGTGATTCACCAAATATCTGTGTACAACCAGATAGGAGCAAAGAACCTCTAAAGGAGTTGTCATTGTTTATAAAATATGGCAGACACTAAAGTCTATTATAAAGAAACCAAAGAGTAATTATTGTTAGATATCTCTGGTTTAAGTCTATCAGTGCTCACTTGGCTATCTCTATGATCTTATAATTTTATTTTGACCCATCCACACTAATGTGAGACCCAAAACACATGAAAATACACACATTTGAGTTTTTTATAATATTATCTGAACTTGGCTATAGTTAACATTTATCTGAAACTAGCATTTACACTGGTAGATTAGGCATAGATACTTTTAATTTGATTATTTATATTTCATTGTAAGAGAGTACTATTACGCAAAAACTGTATTTAAATAAATTAGTGTCATACAGATCCATAGATTAACGTGTATACTGAAATGATGTTATTGATTTTAATATTCATGGCATCAAGTTGAATTAGCTACATTAGGAAAAGCTCTCAGGTCTGGCTTTTTACCTGCTCGATGCATTAACCAGCGTCTTCAAGCTACTTGGGTTACGTATCAGCTTATCCAACATGTTGACAATCTCATCAAACTTGGGCCTGCTATTTCGGTCTTTCTGCCAGCAATCCAGCATTAACTGGTAGAGAGCAGCAGGACAGTCCATGGGGCTTGGCAGACGGTAGCCTTCCTCCACTGCTTTAATCACCTGCGTAAAGCAAAACAGAGCCATACTCAACACCACAAACAATACAGAATAGCTCTAGAAATTTCCTACTATCCAACTTTCATTCTGTCTTAGTCTTACTCTTGCACTGATAACCAGCATTGTTCTCTCTCAAATCTCTGATTACTTCTATTTGCTGCAAAATAAAACAACAATAACAAAAAGTAAATATGTTATCACAATGTAAAAAGATATTTTCTTCACATATTATAAAGAAAATAAGTGGTAATCATTTTTACATAAAATCTTGATGAAGGGTGATTTGTAACATTAACTGACATAAAAATAATGTTCATGTTTTATTTATTTATCCTTGCATTCTGGAACCAAATAGGGATTAGAGTTTTTTAGTGATTTCTCTGAAAAGTTAATGTCTTTGTAATGAAAAATTATGGGCAGATCCACGTTTTTTAAAGCAATAGAACTGCAATTTTACTTCAAAAGAGACTTTTGGAGGGTAAATGATGGATAAGTCAAAGGCTAAATTAGCATAACTGTCTCATGTATCATTTAATAATGTCAGAGTCTGGCTGTTTATTATCATCTACTGATTTCTGTCAGGAATTTGGAATGACTGCATAAGTAGCACAGGCATTACAAACATCATCGATTTTAAATAAAACCACACATGTGAGTATTGTCTAATTGTGAAATTGTTTCATCAAAAACATTCATAATGTTGCTGCTGCCATCAAAATGTCTAACTACAGAAGAAATTCGTTTATGCTTCTGAACATAATGCAGGTTTTATTCTAGAAAATTCAAATATTTAAGTGATCCCCAAATCAATAATAATAAACATAGTTCTCAAATTCCTGTTGTGGATATTTCCTTAACTATTAATTACATTTTTTGAGAAAGACTTTAGATTTGATTTGACAAATGAAAAAACATATATGATGATTAGAACAGGAAATTTACAAAAAAAATCTTGCAAGATTGGAACGAAACAGTCTCTCAATGGTAAAAAAAATGGCACCTGCACAAAAGCAGGAGCACATAGAAAGAAGATGAAATGGTATATTTAAGGGAACTTTATGGCCTAGAGGTAGCAGGTAGAGAGAAAGTGTTTAAGTTCAAACCTTTCACACTGGATGGTTGTTACTATTTACTTTAGCTAAACACATTCATGGGGGGGAGAGAATGTTGACAAGTATAATTTGGGGCTTGTTTTGTTTGGAGTGCATGGGGAACACCCAGATGACACTTGGCAGGAATCTGGTTAGGGTACAGGAGATATTTGAGATGAAAATGTAAATGTGAGAGTCATCATGACTTGGTTATAGCTTGAATCCAGGTGTGGTATATATCTACCCAGGAAGGGCATGAAATAAAAGTTCCTGACAAGCACAAATAGTTAAGTTCAGGCACTTCAAGGACTCAAGGACTCCAAAAAATAAATGGTCAAATAACTGAATAACTATGAATGAAACTCCTGAGAGTCACTTACCACTTTAGTTAACTTAACTCAAAAACAGCATAAAAAATTAAATGGCAAACCATGGTAGAAATTATTACAAAAACTAAAACATATGGTTAGCCTCTTTAACGTATTAAAAGTGGATGCATATTGAGAAATAACATGATAAAACAACAGATTCATGAGAAACAGATATTAATCAAAAATTTATAAAAGAAAAAAATGCTAAATAAATTTTGAGAAAACATTTATTCTCACTGGTGGTCAATAAAAGAATAGTGAAAGAATAAAAAGTACTATTTATAATTATATATTAATAAAAGTTCATTTATGTATTAGTTTGCTTATTAGAAGACTTCCCATTGCTGATGATAACAGCAATAGCAGTTATCTTTAATAACGTGAGTACCAAAATAAAATGTCCTAATACAGTTTGTCATGAAATATTTCAGTATGCAGTGAGAACAGTGATTTTTACTTATTTAAAACCTGATTTGTTTCATAATGAATTTTCCCCAAAGCTGCTACTGATAAGCTCTCTTTTTTCTTTAACACCTATGCTTTTTAAAATATTGTCTTTCTTTCACTGAGTAGCTAGTCTTCACATGTGACTGTGAAATGAGTAAATGAAACCAAGCCACTAGTTTTAAAGGAATTTTATGAGTTATTTGATTTGAGATGTTATTTCTAGACTATATTACTTAATCAACTTTATTTTCAGGCAAATTTATAAATAGAAATATAATACCATGTCTCTAAGTTAACCTCAGTACTTGGTCCAGGAAATTAGGTCATTGAATTTAATTCTAAATTCATCTTTAGAATTTATCTTCAAAATATATTTAAACTATAACTTGAGATTTTATATTCCAACATATTGAATTTTGTTTTTCATTTTTAACTACATTCCCTTCATAGTTTGGGGGAGAAATGAATGTATTAGTGCTCTGGTGGTTTGTGAAATGCTTGAAATATATCAAAGTGCAATTCAGGCTATTCATTTTATTACACAGTTTATAATGTATAGCTAAATGAATCATAATCTCCATTGACTTTCTTATTACCATTACATTTGTTAAGGTAGACAGTTGAGATAAACAAAGGAAAGAAAGAGAAAAAAGAAACAGACAACCAGAAGTTTTACAGATTATCTGGCACCAGTACACATGGGCTACATCTAAAATGTTATTATAAGCTACATGTTTTCTTGGCATTGACATGTAAATCAGTCGTCTAAACACAATTTTAAAAATGCTGCTTCTCTTAATACATGAAACTTCAATACTGAGCACCCGATATGGCACTATTCACTTGGTGGCCAGTTGACTTCACTGGGCCCATTTTGTCATGTAAGGGTCAGTGGCTTCATCCTTTCAGGTACATATACCTATTCTGGGTACAATTTGTTTTTGCTGCCCACAGAGCCTCAACCACCATTACAAGCTTTGCAATACTTGATCCACAAACACTGAATCCCACACAGCATATCACTCAATGAGGGCACCCACTTCCTAGCGAAGAATGTGTGAGTATCGTATACTCAGTGATGTACTGGTAAATATTTAACAACAGGCTCTCCTTGGTGGGGGGAGGACATATTGTATCGTTTACTTGTTTACATGGTATAAATACTCCCTCCAGGTCGATTGCAAACTGTCAACATGATCTCATTCTGAAAATCTGCTAGCTGGTACAAGGGTGGTTCCAGCAACCACTGCACATAATACATCATAAATTCATACATAAGGCATTTAAGCTGCTTTCACACAGTTGGGGCAGGGAAAAATACTGCGAACACTAGGTGATACACTTGGGACTTCTTGTTACTCTTTTGTAATAACTGTGGCCTGAAAAGGCTAACCCCCAAGAATGAAAGATGGATCCAGGCTACTAGTTCAGCCACCATGACCTGCCATATTGATAAATGAGGGGAATCCAGAATGGATAGTGAAGGAAGGAGAGGCAAAGGACCAGGTGAGGTCCTGAGATCAACTGAAACCACAGGGACTACAGTTCAGTTCATAACCTGCCTCTTCTGAGTTTCCACTTAGATAGAAAAACCCATAGAATCATGAAACAGATGCTCCTGGAACCTGTGTGGGGAAGTAGGTCCGTGCTGCAAAAGGTGAAGAGCATGGAAATCATGAAAATTTGTCTCTCAGATCTTTACCTGCTGGATGCTAATTAATCAACAACCCTTAACCCTAAACTTTCTAAAACCATCATCGCATTTACACCAAAGCCAGGCTTTGCAAAGGTTACTTCCAGTCAATTATTGAGCATGGCAGTGATAATAAGATAGGCTCATTTCTATGTGACCCCTATGACAGACAATGTTTTCACAGTCTGACATCTCTCCCAGCTATCCTGCATTCCTCTTCCTTACAAGAATTTCTCCTTAATAATACTAATGTATATCTAATTCCTTCTTGGAATAGGTTTCTTGCAGGACCTAGACTAGCACAGGCATTATATCATAAGCACTACACCACAAATTGTACATATAATATCTATATTCATCATCATCATATATTTGTAAGATAGGAACTATTAAATGCATTTTATAGATGAAATGTATGAGACTCCAGAAGGTTAAGTAATTGCCTGTGTTTACACAACCAAGAAGTAGCAGTGGTAAGATTTACAGGCAAGTCTCTCTGGCAAGCAAACCTGTGATCTTCCCATCCTGATGCTAAGTCTCACCATTGGAATTAGAAATAACTACCTTCCAACTAAATAATTTGGGAGAGTTATAGATCTCACTCCATGGAATCAGATTTCTTGCTCCACAAGAAAAAAAATATCTACAATTAAAATGTGCTATTTTGGAAAGGAGTGCATTCTTCATCACAGGAGATGTAAAAATGTAAGTTGGATAACTGAGTGGCAGGAATTTTGTAGGCGGAATTTGAGCATCAGCAGTGTGTTTTGATGAATTAAGTTTAACTAAGGTGTGAGCGCCTATGTTGCTAGGTATTTACTTGAAATCTCACACATGAGTCATTTTGTTACTGTGAGATATGAGGCTTTTCAGAAGTGACTGGAGTTTAAGGATATATTCTTGGAAATAATCTCAGATACCAAAGAAATAGTTCTGGATATGCCCATTTTTTTCATAGGATTTATTTTCTGTTTCCAATATTATTAAAGATATATAGAGTGTATCTTTTTCTTAGTACATCAATCTTAGATCAGTAGCATTCCAGAGATTAAAGACATCTTAAAAATCCTCTATTCAAGACCATTCCTTTTGTAATCATTGAAATTGACCAAGAGTTATAGATTCCAAAATGACTGGCTTTTAGTTCAAGATTTTTGGTTTTTGTTTTTGCTGTTGTTGTTAAATAGAAAGGTACAGGACTTTTGAACTGAATATGGATATTTCTTTATGTATCGCTTACTCCAAAGGGATAAGAGTTGAAATGAGGTTACCAGTCACTAAAATAATTGCTTTTCTCTCAGGGCAGGCAGCATTATCCTTGCAAGACTAATATTATCTTCAAAGACCAATATTTGTCAAATACACTCATTGTAGATATTATTATACTAAGGCTATTAAGTCAAATAATTTGTTCACTGTCAAATATTGGTAATTTTCAGTATTTATATGGGACCTAAGTTCCTCACACTTTAATTATAACATGCTGTGTGTTATCATAAAATATTCTTTTTGTTTTACCATAAAATATTTCAGAAATATAAGATATGTGTATCTTTTTTTGTCCCATCAGAAATTACAACAAAGAATAGAAGGAGGACGAGAGGCACGCCCCGTACAAAGTAGGCTGACATCCTTTTGGGGTCAAAAATTCTTCCTGCCTTAGAGTAAGATGTAGGCCAGCAGAAATAGTAATAGAAAACAGTCAAAAAAAGAACAAAGAACAAAAGTAATTCTAACATAAGAAGACTGAAAAACAGGTAAATGAGTTTCTAAAACATTTTGTAATCTATGTGCTTAGTGTAGTCTACATATTCATATATTTCCCAATAAATGCAAGAGTAAAACACTGTTACTAAGTATAAAAATGCAATGCAATTAAGTCTCTTTTTATTTGGGTCTGGATTTTAAGTTCAGAAAAATGTTGCCATTTAAAATGTTTGCTATCAATAAAGAAGCCTCTACTGACCTCAGGATATTATCTTAGCTTCCTAAGCTTGAATCAGAGTTCACGGTCTGGTATTAAAATTATCTTCATCATTCTGGTTTATTTTTATGATGTGCTGTTATGTTTTTTCTCTGTGATGACAGAGGCAATCCTAAATCAAAATAAACCCACTGCAGCATTCTGTCCCCTTGACATGGTGGAAGATCTCCTCTGGGAGATTTAGAATATTCTGCATGTCTTGGCAGTGTAATATTTTCATGATGCAAAGCCTTTTAAGAAGTAGATAGTATCTGGAATGTAGAGATTATGGGATATATCATTCAAAACACCAAATCAGTACTTCTATTTTGCTCTCTGAGAGTTTGTTTCCAAAGAAATATTCAGTGATCATGGTGTTCAAATACAGATCTGTCATGTTTCTTAAATACAAATTTGGATAGCAATTGAGGAAATCAAACTTAGTGCTATATGTAGAAGCTAAATACTACTAACAATTGTGAACCTGCTTCGAAAATACATAGCATCTATTGTACAATTTATTAAAAGCAGACAGAAAGATCTGCAATTTTATAATCATTTACTTTAAACCTTATCTAGATTCTTGGTAAACCTAGTCAAAGCCAAAATATTAGTTTTTATTATAATTTCCTGAGAATATTATATCAGCACTCCCTTTTATTTGCTAAATAGTTTGAATTAAAGTTATCTGAGAGTGTATCAAAACTTCAAATGGCTAAAATCAGAAAGAAAAAAAAAAACGTGTCTCAAATCCTTCATACCTCCTTGTTTCTATGTCCCTCTTAGTGTAATTTTATATTGTCCATTCACAATTGGCAGTGTGATTGCCCTAAATATGGGATTGGCCACTGCAACTGGCCTGATTATTGGATTGACCAATGTAATTTTATGCTACTTGATGAGATGCAATAGGGATCATTCTTGCCCTTCAGTCACTTGACAGATGAGCTCACATCTACACTACTACTGGTCTCCAGAGGAAGATGAAGGTCATGTGGATTAGAGCCACGGTATGCCAGTATAGAGCAACCAACCCCACTGCCAACACGAGCAAGCCCAGTCACGATCAACAAAAACACTATGAGCATTTACATACCATCATGTTCTACTCTGGTCTATAATTTTATTTGTGACAGATGCAACTGTATCACATAAAATTGCCAATAATGTAGATAACAATGCTACACATATCATACACTAGCTGGGAAGGACTAATAATTCTGAGTTACAGAATGAGAATTGAAAAGAAGTTAACTAGGTAAATAAGGGACCAATGTTTTCCTTGGCATGGCAGAATAAAATACTTTCACAACAATTAAAGGACAGAATGGCATTAAAATAAGTCTTAAGAAAAGTTAGAAGCCAACTGTGAAGTGCTCGGTAGTTCAAGTTAGCATTTGGCATTTATCTGGAGAAAAGTAAGTAGCAAACAGGTCTGGTCTTCCTTCAGGTTATAAAAATCCAGAGTTGAATTTGAATTGAAGATTTTATATTCATCCAGATGGCTGATCTAGGATCATTGGTTGAAAATGGAAGGGAAGAAGCAGACATTGATTTAATTGGAGATAGTGTGGTAGTTTGGTACAAAAATTTTAGAGAATCATGGTGAAATCTCTGGTGCTACTTTTATTATTATTTTGTGACCTTAAGAAAGTCATTTAATCTCTCTAAATTCAGTTTCTTAACTGCAAAACAAGAATTACAATAGCATCTCTCTGATGAGAGATGCACAATAGGAATTCAATGATACAGTTTTTTTTTTATAACAGCACTAGCCCTAAAATTGTAAAGCTGAAGTGAATAGATACTATGTTCTCCCAAATTTAGAGAAATATAAGCCAGCACTCTTTCCCCTAAACCAAGTGAGTAGGACACAAAGAAAACCGATTGTAGCAATTTTAGATAACTACAAAAAGGGTTCACTGCCTTGCCATAGGCTTGTTAGGGGGTGGGAATGCATTAAGCCCAATTTACTGTCACTTATCAGAGAAGAATGCTATGAAATAAGTCTTAGAAAAGCCAACGTGTGACCTTGACATCTCACCAGGAGATATTGGAAGAAGGCAGGCTGGCTGGAGCAGTCTACAACAGTAGTCCAAAAAGGGAACAATGGCAGAGCATCCAACCAGAATGGGTTTCGCTCTCAGGTGAAGTACACATGTGCACTGGACAGCAAGAGACTGTGAGATTGGGAGCAGACAGCAAGTGAGGTGTACCCTGGAAGTAAGTTGGCATAAGACACCCTCCTCCTCTGGTGACCGTCCCCAGGGGGTCCTTTCAAGAGCTCCGACACATACTTCACTAGAGAACCAACGTTTGGGTATTTGACCTGTGGGAGGCATCAATAACTAGCAAAAAAAAAAAAAAAAAAAAAAAAAAAATCTTGCCCTTTCTTTTCTACATACCCATCAAGGGCAATTCTGAAAAATCTAGATACAAACTTTGCCAAAGGAAGAAGAGGAGCAAAAATGGGACCATTCTTCCTTCGCTAGGTACCGAGGGTCAGGCTGGCCTTGTGGTTGTGGAAAACACTTTGAAATGGATATGGCATTGGCTTTGATTTAGACTGGACTTGAATTTTTATATCTGAAATTGAATCTTAATTACTGGCATGGGACTGTTGTTTCAACAAAATGAGGCTGAAGAGCTGTAGGATCTGTCTAATAACCCCTGAAGGCATAGGAGTGGGATATTATACAGAGCATGGATGAAAGAAATAATTGGAGGAAAAAAATAAATGTTTTAAATCAGTATGCTGTTGAGTTAAGATTGCTCCATATGCTGGTTTTATAAAGAAGTAACGAGACAGTTGATGAAGCACTTAAGACAGTATGTGGCACATAGTTAGGGTTCAATATATGTTAGCTGCTTTTACAGTTGTTGTTATTTGAAGGGAAAATATCAAATTTCAACGTGATCCAAAATGGGAAGGCTGTATTGAATAGTAACAATGGAAAATTACAAAAGCAAAGACCAAAGAGCCATGTGTCAGGCATCACACAATAAATATTCTGAACTTGAATAGAAGAATCTTTCATAGTTTCTTTAATTTTAGGATTCTATTATTCTAAGTGTGAATTATTTTTCCATGTAAGAAAAAAATCTGTTTTCCCCCATATTAGACAGTCCAAAACTCTTCTTACACTTTTTTAAATTAAAAAAAAAACATAGATTATTATTTTTATCCCCTAAAAGCATCCACTATTACATCAATATCATTCATCCTTTCAGTTTGGAGTATTAGCTGTCTTTATCAAATGCAAATCATGAAAACGTGGCTGTCAGTATTCATTCTCTGATGGCTTCTTCTTCATCTTTGAAAATAATACTGACATAAAATGAGTGAACCCATCACTATAGTACAGCTAAAACTGTCTGGCAAGGGACTAAGCTTTTATGTAACAGTAACTTACTTTCTTTTGTACTAACTCATTTTGAGTTTCTGCATAAAGGCTATTTCAACAACAATAAAACAGATCAGAGGGTAAGCAAAGTATTTCATTTTTTTAAGCAACTGTCATTTTGAGAAATGAAAAAAGATTCTTTCTTCCAACTCAGAGAACAAAGCATTTCATTCTAAACTTGAGGGAGAGTAGTTCCATACTTACGTCTTGATTGGTCATCTCCCAATAGGGTCTCTCCCCATAAGACACAACCTCCCACATCACGATTCCATAGCTCCAGACATCACTAGCAGAGGTAAACTTTCGGAAAGCTATAGCTTCTGGGGCCGTCCATCTGATTGGAATTTTGCCTCCCTAAAATTGAAAAAGGATACAAGAATTCCCACATACTTCAAGCACATTTGGGGATATTGCTGCCTCACTAGAAAGATCTAGACAGAGATGTAGCATTTTTAAGTGAATCTGTTTGACAGCATGCAGTCTCTTTTCACATACCTCAGCCCGTAAGCACTTGTAGACTGACTACTAATTGGCTGTCCGGAAGCTTTCTGGTTTAAATTCTATTTGACTACTGGAACACATACAGGACCCACATCTCAATTACAGTATCAGGATGGCAACTCAAAGAGGGGAAAGCAGGCAGCCAAGCAAATCAATAAGGTAAACTTTCATGACTTTCTAACAGAGAGTAAAGGACTTAAAATCCCAGGGTAGTTTTTTTCTTCCTTTCTTTAACATAGGAATTATAAATGGAAAGTCTTGATTGCTGAATGCAACCCTGAGAAGTTTAACAGTAAGACAAACATGAAAATCAGATATAATTATATTTCCCCCCAACATTGTGCAATTTCTTTTAGACTCGATTTCTCTTATTTTCTGCCAACATATTTTGGTGTTTTTTCTGTTACATACTGTTTTTGTTTTTACCTAATAGATAGGTATCTCACTTAATTTAACCAAATTAAAAATTATTGAAATTAGATTGCAGGGAAAAATTTATGACATGATATCAAGTTTGGAGTTTTTTCATGGTAAAAAAAAAAATTGGTTTGGTAGATTTCCTCTTAGTTCACAAAATAAACACTTTTATATCCTTCCGGCAAACTTAGGAAACCAAACATTTCATCCATAAGAAAAAATATATTAAAGGGGGAGGGTACAGGATTTGAATATTTTCTTGCAGAAAAGATTAACTTATGCCTTCCCATTTTGCAGAGAGGGAATGATTTAATTCATACACTAGGAAAAAAATGGAACTTAAGGAAATAACAGCTTCATGTAACATTTCAAGTTGTTCTGTGAGCTGAAGTTAATTTGAACTATTCAATCTATGTTTAAATTATTTGTTCCTTAGATATATGGTAACACCACTTTAAAAAGACTTTCCTGATACATACTTTTGTTAATTAAATATTCATAGGTAAGATTATATCATTAGGCTTGGCCGTGTGTCACTGTGATATTCTATTAACGATATAATTACAGAATTATAGTTATATTCTATAACTACACTATTCCTCTTAAAATTGTAGATTGTCAATTACTTTAAACTTCAGGCTAGAACTTTTCTCCTGGTCCTCTGACCATCATATTTGACATCGCTGTTATCTGAAGTTCTCTTATCTTCTCATCTCTCAATATACGGATTTTCCATAAATTGCTATTATAACCCATTTCAAAGGAGTAAGTCTTGAAGGTCTTGGGATCTCTGCCTCCCCTCTCCTCGCTTCCCCCCCACCCCGGCCCCCAGCATGATACATTAACACACACCTTGACAAATCTGTTTTATGCATTTAACTAAGACATCAACCAATCATACTGGGAATGGATTTGTCTATAAACTCCTTCTTGCTTAGGCCAAGTTTATTAAGTGTAACAGTAATCCCAACGGAATTCTTAATTGAGGTTTCAGTTAATGCAAATAATGAAAATGACAATTAGCTTTAGAAGAGGAGGGATATCCCATCAATTAATTTATTGATTTATTAAGCTAACCATTAAAAGGCTTTGTTTGCTTAGATAAGTTACTCTTGGACTTCAGTATAGTACACTCCCTAAATATCCATGAATCACAAAGCAACAGCTGAAAAAAAAAAAGCCTTATAATCTATGAAAAGAGTTTATCGTTAGACTGCGAGTAGAAGTAATTTTAAATAATTGGATTAAATAAGCAATGTGTAACATATCTGTCTTAAGAATGTGAGATGACTGGGGCGCCTGGATGGCTCAGTCGGTTAAGTATCTGAACTTGGCTCAGGTCATGATCTCACAGTTTGTGAGCTTGAGCTGTGCTCACAACTCAGAGCCTGGAGCTGTTTCAGATTCTGTGGCTCCCTATTTCTCTGCCCCTCCCCGCTCTTGCACTCTGTCTCTCTCTCAAAAATAAATAAACATTAAAAAAAAATTTTAAAAATGTGAGATGCCAAAAGTGTCCTTCTGTATTGACACAACAGTTAGCCAAATCTTATAGTGAAAAAGATACAATGATAAATTTTTAGCTTCACAAGGAGTTGGAACATCGAAGATATTTAACTTCATGTTTTCTTGACATTGAAAGATTTAGAATTAAACACAGTTTATGATAAGGGATTCAAACTCAAAAGGTGCAATACATAGAATGCTCCAAAAATTCTCTTACACCAATACCCACAGTTTTCCACAGAAAGAATTGTCAGATATATACCATATCGATTCAGGAAGCAATTACTTTGCTGGAAAAGGGTGTTGATTTATGCTAATTATGACAATATGAGTTAGTGGCCAACTTTCCATAAATGTGAGCTTAGCAGTTAATATAGCATGTCAGGAAAGTAATTAGGCATTAAAATACTTCCAGTGAATCAAAACTTTTTGAAGAAATAGTTATTTTATTCCCTACCATGTGAGTCCTTAAAAGGTAGGCTTAGATATTTCATTTCTATATTTGTTTTACAAATGAGGACACTGTGGTGCAGAGAGTTTAAGCTTCCCAATGTTATACATGTTTATATATTCATATATACATGTATAATATTTATTTGTTTTAGTTAGGAAATTCTCTAACTTTCTCTTTTACATTTAAAACTCTGTATGTACAATTTTCGAAGCGTTGTATTCACTCTGACCTCAAAGTTTTTGTTTTCAGTATCTGTAAGGGAAAAAAAATGAAATCTTGTGACCCATACGGTGAATACTTTACTTATTTGAGTTTAATATACAAATTTGCTGCTATCCAACCTGTAGAATGATTACATTTTTTTATCTCCCCCTCCCACCATCCCTTTTTCTCTCTGTCTTCCTATGGGAGAGGAATGTTCTTTTTACTATTTCCTTTAAACACCTTTAAAAATTAAACATGTCTAGTCTAGTGTTTCAGAAATGCATTCTGTTAGATCTTACCCTGGTGGTATAGGCTGCCTCGGGATCGTCTTCCAGCACCCTGGAAAGTCCAAAGTCAGACACTTTGCACACAAGGTTACTGTTGATTAAGATGTTTCTGGCAGCAAGGTCTCTATGCACGTAGCCCATGTCGGAAAGGTACTTCATTCCCGCAGCGATGCCTCTCAGCATGCCAACAAGCTGAATCACAGTGAATTGCCCATCGTTTTTCTGTAGAAACGATGTAGAAATATTAGTCCTGCGGCAATAATTACTGAGGGAAAATTTGAAAGGATCTTCCTTCAAGCGCCAAATTAATAGTATCACCAAATTCATATGCCATTCTTAGCTGAAGGAGAATGGAAAAAGTTATGAAATATTTTGTTAATTTTGTAACATTTACCAGTCCTCTGCTTGGTCAAAGCAGATCAAGACTTTGAAAGCTCTTGTCAAAAATCTCATTTAGTTGCCCTTTTCTGCATTGTAATCCCTTTACTCTCAGTTATCAGAGGAGAATGTTCATCACTCCAACCTAGCACCTGCCTTAGATGAACATGGCACATTTTTGAGGTGCTTTAAAATAAGTTAGCTGGATAGGCATATTGGAGTAAAAAAGAAGTGGCTGGAGGAGACAAAGGAGTTTCTTTAACAACAGATGGGAGAGAGATCACTGAGCAATGACCAGACAACGTTAGCATTTCTTAGAAGCTTGCTGTCTTTGTCAAAGGCACTGAATTTACTGCAGGTACATGGAATAAGGCCCAACTAATGATTAATTTGATATAAAGGAATGATATAATCTTAAGAGACTAGAGAACTTGAAGATACGTATAAGAAATTTGACAACAGAATCTGGTAGAGTCTGGAGATTAGAAGAAAACTTTGCCTTATCAGTAGACAGCTGTCCTCTTCAATGCACCGGTCCTTGGAATAATCCTCAAGAAAGTCATTGTCCCATCACCTTGCCTAATCAGTAGTAATAGTTGCTACACTAAATGTGAAAACCTGCCAGCCTACAGGTTTAATCAGGCCTGCAAACATGTTACATTGTCCAGCACAAGCTATTTAGTAATATAATCAGTTGCCAACAAATAAAATTTGGACACTTGCACATAAAAACAAAACAATACTTTCCCTAGGATCCAGAAGATCTGACAACATTAGTGATACCATCTATTATCATGTAATCATTCCACTGGTAAAAGTGGTGGCTGACCCTCAGATGGGTTATAAGTCTATTGGGTCCCTTTATTAATACAGAAAAGTTGCATAGACCTTTTACACATTTTTTTCCTTGCTCTACCTGACATTATATACTCTGAAAAACTTACTATTTGTAAAAAAGCTTCTTTTTTTTCCTTTTCTTTCCTTCTGTCTTTTTCTTTGTTTTCTTCCTTTTTCTCGAACCCTTTCATTTTTTTGGGGGGCAAATTAACATATATTTAAAGAAAACTATGGGGACATATGGTTTGGATTTGTGTACATTTCTGAAAAGGACAATTTTCAGACCAAAGTTTATTTTTGGAGTACAAACATTCTGACCCCCAAAATTTCTATTTCAAAATTCTGCTTTACAGTGACTTAATTTCAACTTCAACATCATAGCCAATATACAAATAACACTTTGAATAATTAAGTTGGTCTCAAACCTACCTTTAAAAATGTATCTAAAGAGCCATTTTCCATGTACTCTGTCACTATCATCACGGGTTTGCCTGAAAAGAAAACATGGTATGAACTATAATGTTTTGATTTGGCATTCTTATCTAGGAAACGTTTGCCATAAGTTATTACTTCTTCCAAATTATATATATTCTTCTAAAAAATGTCCTCTTTGAGTAGCAAGTAAATTCATGACATGATGATATCTTAGTGTAATGGGAAAGTATCACAAGAATAATAATACATTGACATTTAAGATATAAAAATACACAATTTTCAATATTAAAATCAGTTTGTCAAAAATAGTTTAAGCCTGCATTTTAGTTTAATACAGGTAATGATATAATATGCCAAATAACATCCAGCAAAGAACTGTGAACATATTTATCTTTCCCACAATTCTGAATAAAAATTCCTGTCTATCTAACTGTCCTGCATGCAACCCCTTGAATATAGGTTGTATTTTCCTAACTTTATTTCTATGTTCTTATAACTCCTTTCCTCATGGATACATCATTTTTCCTCTCTGTCACACACACTCTCCATCAGCCCAAATTTTTTTCATTCCTCAAAACTCTGTTCTATGGCCGTTGGGTGGGGGAATGGGCTAAATGGGTGATGGGCATTAAGGAGGGCACTTGTTGAGATGAGCACTGGGTGTTATATGTAAGTGATGAATCACTAAATTCTACTCTTGAAATCATTATTACATTACATGTCAACTAACTTTAATTTAAATAAATATTAAAAATTAAAAAAAAACTGTTCTAATTTCTCTTGCTATCTGGAAACTTCTCTAGCAATGACTGTTTCCTCCCCTTTCATGTCTGATATAGAAATGCAACTTAGAGGTCAGTTGGACAGACTCTGAGGTCATGTTGCATGGCTTTGAATGCCAGATCAATCACTTATGATGCAATCTTGAGCAAATCATTTATCTTTGTGCCTCAGTTTTCTCATCTGTAAAATAAGTGAATTAATGTCACCTACTTCACAGAGTTGTGGTAAGTATCCAGCAAGTCATATGGTTATGCAAGTCACTTTGAATAGTGCTGGCCAGTTAGAATTTGATGTTTTGTTATTTTATAAACTTTAACTATGTATCTATGGTTTAAATTTCTTGCTGGATATAGGGTGACTAAGAGAATAGATCATATTTTATCTTCCATAAAATTATGGCACTTTGTATATAATGTATTTGTGATACAAGATGAAAAATACATGATGAGGGGCACCTGGGTGGCTCAGTCAGTTAAGCACCAATTCTTGATCTCGGCTCCAATCATGACCTCATGATTCCTGAATTGGAGTCCCTCACTGGGCTGTGTGCTGATAGTGTGGAGTCTGCTTCAGATTCTGTCTCTCCCTCTCTTTTTGCTCATCCCCTACTCATGATCTCTTACTCAAAATAAACAGATAAACTTAAAAAAAATACAAGATCGGGGTGCCTGGATGGCTCAGTAGGTTAAGCGTCTGACTTCGGCTCAGGTCATGATCTCATGGTCCATGAGTTCGAGCATGAGTTGGGCTCTGTGCTGACAGCTCAGAACCTGGAGCCTGCTTCAGATTCTCTCTCTCCCTCTCTCTCTGCCCCTCCCCTGCTCTCTCTCTCTCTCTCTCAAAAATAAATAAACATTAAAAAAATATAAGATCAAAAATCCTTATTATATGAGAAAATATCTAAAACATGATTGTTAGTTTTATCACTCCACATTGACCTCACTATATTTTAAAACATGCCCCTTTACTAATTTAATAAAAGCATGTTACATAAAATTTGTGTTAAAATATTTTTTGTTTAAATTATTTGTTACATTTGTATTAAATTTTGTGTTAAATTGTTAAATTTGTGTTAAAATATTTGTGTTTAAAATATTTTGAGTTAAGTAAAAGGATACCTTATGTCAGAAAAATTGCTATCTTAGATGTCTATTAATTAACTTTTTGTATTATGAAGAGAAACACTTAAACAATCAGAACATGTTGGGATGAGCACTGGGTGTTGTATGGAAACCAATTTGACAATAAATTTCATATATTAAAAAAATAATCATAAAATGCATTATAATTAACATAATAGCATTCTCCAGAAAAACATCTGTATTTTACTGAAGAAGTGATTAATTCAACCCATAGAATTATATATTACATATTTGTTCATACAACATTATCTAGAAGTGCAAATAAAGCTATAGAAAGTTAGACAATTACATATGACAAAGAAATAAGTAGGAAGAAAAAGATTTTCTCATGCAAGATCACTTAAAAGTTACTATTTAGAATAATAAGGTAGTACTAATTTCTTACTCAGATAATTATCTTTTTAAAAAAAATACTTCAGGGGCGCCTGGGTGGCGCAGTCGGTTAAGCGTCCGACTTCAGCCAGGTCACGATCTCGCGGTCCGGGAGTTCGAGCCCCGCGTCAGGCTCTGGGCTGATGGCTCAGAGCCTGGAGCCTGTTTCCAACTCTGTGTCTCCCTCTCTCTCTGCCCCTCCCCCGTTCATGCTCTGTCTCTCTCTGTCCCAAAAATAAATAAATAAACGTTGAAAAAAAATAAAAAAAATACTTCAGAAGCAATATTCTTTTAATTGAATGTGATGAGTATATTACAAATCAAGACACATTTCTCTCTTCCTCTTTAATGTTTAGAAAAGTATTTAAAATTTTTGTCTAAAATAATTCCTTTGGCATACGTTTGTAGACGCCTACGTTTGGTGAAACATCACATATGCAGAGAACAAACACTAGAGAGGGAGAGTCATCATTTGATCTGAACCTTGAAGACTGAAGGGGACACCCCTATAATCAAAGGTAACATATTCCAGGAAGAAGAGGCAACATGTGCCAAGACATCTTATCATGAAAGAACCCATCAAGCTCAAATATGGCTAAAGCCCTGGATTTTTGCTTTGTCAATTAGGAAGTGATAGGAGATGAGTTGGGAAACAAGTTTCTTAAAACCTGACTGGGCATACAATACCTTAGTAAAATAAATAAATAAATAAACTCATAATGTATTTCCAAGTGCCTGTAACAGCACAAGAGAAGAAAAGATTATGTTTTTTTTAATTAGTTAATTGTAATCTAAGCTCATGAATAGAGAAGTGTTTCCAGTTTAACTTTATTTTAATTATATTGCCACACCCATTTTAATTCAACTTTTAAAATAAACATAATTGTGCTTTGGACCTTTTTAGTCATTCTCACATCTCAGAGCCCATTTTAGCCTTTCTTTAATGTGGAAGCTCCCTCCCCCCACCCTTTTTTTTCCCCCCCAAATTTCACAACTAATATACTTCCCCAGGAGTAATGGCCAAAATATGTGATAACTGCTTTGGCACAGGTACCTATGTGTCAGGAGTTACACCAGCCACAATGCTGGAGTATTCTAGAATGTCCTGCTATACCAGACCATCATCCCTTCGTTTGCCTGATTTCAGGGATTCAGAAATCACCAGGGATGAAGCTGAGTAGGTATATAAAGGGGACACATGGGTAACTATGCACCAGCTTTTTATCAAACACTACAGAAATATTTCAATAAATTTACAGCTAATAGAGCCAAAGAGTGTGTACTTGCTCAACATCAGCCCTGATCCAACTAGAAGGAGGCCTCCATTTTCTGGAATCAATCGGGTTAGCTCTTTTATTTTGACTTTGACTCTCACTTACAGAAATCCAATGAGGAAACTGTCATAGTATAATTGGAATTGGAAGAACTGATTTCTAGAAGATATCCAGAGAATATAGTCTTAGCTTTTCCTCATTGGCACCTCTCAGCTCATACCATGTAAGTAGATGTCTTGTCCATCAGACTGAAACCCTGATTCTTGTCTATCATTATCTACTCTACCCGCAAGACCTTTATAATTGCAGCATCTTCCCTATATTCTGATTTATAAAACTTTCAGTTTCTTTCTACTCTCTTTTTCTACAATTTCTTCATTGTATCTACCCTCTCGTTTGTTGGACTCTCTTTTTACCATTATGGGTTAGTGGTAAATATTTAGTACTGCTCACCCAAGGTCTACTGAGTAGAAATTGGATAGAATCCCCTTATAAAAACATCTTTTTCTTGGCTAAATTTGTTCCTTAAATTCAATCCAAATTCACTAAGCTTAGAAGAAAAAATGTATACTCTAAAAAGAATGAACTGATCAGAAGACTATTGACATTGAAAAATATACATTTGGAAAGAAAAAAATAAATGATTACATTTTGGGGAAATGGGCACCTGGCATTTGTTCTATAAGATTTCCTAGATCTCATCACCTAGGTCCAAAAGTCAGATTAATTATTTATGACAGTGTAGGTTGTAATGTCAATAACAAAAATGTTATCTGAGAAATATGATAGGAAACTAAAATACTTCTCACATTTTAGAAAATGGGAGAAAAGCAATTAAAATGAATGTTTGCAAACAAGCATGATCTTCTTTTGTTGACAAGAATAAGACACTTCAGGACCCATTCGATTATTTTTCATGCTTGAGTCATTTTAATGCTAATTATATTTAGTTTGGCTTATGTTTTGTCTCAGTTCCTGCTAGCCTGCAAGAATGACATAGCAATAATTAATGTGGCTTACTCTAACCCTTGTAAATTCAATAAAACTGTATAAATCATTTTCCATTATCCAGCTCGAAGTACAAAGAGTAGATTTGCCAATAATTTTGAAAGCATATTATCAAAAATCTATATAAAAAGAGCTCATAAAGCATGTCAAAACATGATTCTAATCAGAGTGGAGTTTTTATACTACTTTATATTATTTATCAAAGACCTAACCCAGAGTCTAAGTAGTAATAGAAACACATTATTTGTGGAATTCACCAATCTTATATTTTAATCATTCAGTATTGATAATCATAAAAAGAGCTACAATTTATGTATTTATTGAATTCTCACTTTTTACAGGGCACAGTGTTATTTTTAATTTTATTAAATTCCATAATAGTGATATTACAAAAGACTTTTTCAGAAAAAGAAGAGTGAGATTTAAAAAACAGATTGAATACATAACTTGGGTTGACGAGTACAAATATATAAGAAC